AATGAACTCTTGCATGGGGTGACTTCCAATAACGTCACAATCACCGCTGCTGTTGTTAAGATATAAAACACATGTAATGTATTATGGCGAGGTAGGGACTGTTCAGGGTGGCCTCCTTCATCACTTACTGAAAGATACTGGCCATTGTTCCATTGTTTCTCGCGGTGTATGTAGAGCTAAATATACTGTACATGCAATAGTTAATGTTCTGTTACTCTCCAATTATTGACCTTTTATTGTCCTGTTATTGACCTGTTATTTTCCTGTTATTGACCTATTATTTTCCTGTTATTGACGAGTTTTCTTGTTATTGACCAATTAACCTGATAGTGACCACTTATTATCCTGCTATTGACCAGTTATTTTCCTGTTATTATCTTGTTATTGACCAGTTATTATCCTGTTAGTGACCTGTTATTATTCTGTTATTGACCTGTTATTATTGTTACTGACCAGTTTTTATCCTGTTATTGCCCAGTTATTATCCTGCCATTGCTCAGTTATTATCCTGCTATTGCTCAGTTATTATCCTGCCATTGCTCAGTTATTATCCTGCTATTGCTCAGTTATTATCCTGTTATTGCCCAGTTATTATCCTATTACTGAACAACGCCCTATTATTACCTTATTCCTGCCCAATTGGTACCCAGTTACAGCACGATTATTTTCTTTTTATTGGCCAATTACTGCTGCCCAATAATAGCCAGTTGTATTGGCCAATTACTGCCAAGCTATTCTATAGTTATCGCTTAATTAATACCATGTTATTAGTTAGTCATTTCCCAGTCATTGTCCAGTCTCTACGTGTTACTACCTAACTACTGTCCAGTCTCTACCTGTTACTACTTAACTACTGTCCAGTCTCTACCTTTAACTACTCTAGTCTCCTGTTACATCCCCATTACCTTCTAAAACTGACCAGGTAAGTCCTAGATAATGTTCACTAATTAACCTGAAGACTTCATGTGTATCTTCCAACAAGAGTGATGTACTAGTTGATGTTGTGTTGGCGAGGCTCAGGGGGACTTAAGCCCTCTGCCAGGATGTAGAAAACTTAATTCATTTTAATGTAAGTGATAACAGCAAATCATTGTTCAGGTGGAGATAATCATCAAGTCGAAAATATGAAGAAGAGAATATTGTAAAACTATACCATTAATATGACTCTTTCTCTCTCGGGCTGTAAAACGTTTAAGAATTTATACTTTAGAGTGAAAAGTCTTCGTATAATTTAAGATTTTTACAAACTATTGAGACTATAATAGGCATCTAATAGAAGGTTTATAAAAGAGTCAGGATGTATTCAATTCATTTCACAAGTTATAACGAAACTAACTCAAAAGTTGTACTGCATAAAAAAATATAATTTTATGACATAACTTTTCCATTTCATTGTTGAAGCTTCAATAAAACTGAATATTTTCATTCTCACAGATTAAATGTGTAATTTTTGCCCCAAGCTATACACACTGCAAATGAATTTCTCCCTCCCTCTCACCCGTTATCTCTCTCTCTCCCCTTTAACGTTGTCTATCTCTCTATCTCCCTCTTTTTCTTATCTTTCTTTTCATATCTCTCTCTCTTTTCTCCCCCCTTTCTTCAAGAAGTTAAGGAATTTCCCCATTATGATGAAAAATTGAGTTATACTCTACTATAAATTGCAACATCTCATAACGTCAAGTGATAAATTTCCGGAACAAATTAAAAAAAAAAAATCTTTCTTTTCAGAATTTATCTCAAGTAAACCATTAATTTCAGCCCGACATTCATAAGAGTGACTTACAAGAACACTGCACGTCCGCACCAGCAAAAAAAACCTTTCCTCAATAGCACTACAAAACACAGATATTACACAATAAATCACCAAACCTAATATTGGTTAACTGTACCCAGAGTTCCAGTGAATCAAAATTTCCTCAATACATCGGAAAAATATGTTCGACTTTGTGTTGGCCAGGGAGGTTTAGAGTCTTCTGTTCTGCTGCCTCTCACGGCATATAGGAATGGGGGAGGGGAGTTAGGAATGAGGGAGGGGAGTTAGGAATGGGGGAGGGGAGTTAGGAATGGGGGAGGGGAGTTAGGAATGGGGAGGGTAGATAGGAATGGGGAGGTAGATAGGAGTAAAGGGCAGGTAGTGGTAGGGAGGGTAGGTAAATTTGAGGAGGGCAGGTAAGAGTCAGGGAGGGCAGGTGGGGGACTGGGAGGGTAGGAGTCAGGGAGGGGGAAGGGTGACTGGGAGGGCAGGTAGGAGTCAGGGAGGGCAGGTGGGGGACTGGGGAGGGCAGGTAGGAGTCAGGGAGGGCAGGTAAGGGGGACTGGGGAGGGCAGGTAGGAGTCAGGGAGGGCAAGACACATATCACAATGATGTGCTCTACACACTGCTGTTCCTGGCTCATTAAAGCCCCTTTCTATAAATTTTCGCAAGTAAATTATATGAAAAGTTAAATGAGAACCAAAATTGTCCAATCATGTGTAGTTTCTGTGTTGTTGTGGTGGCGGGGACAAGGAATTATTCCCTTGTATACATCAACAGACAGAGAGTTTGTTGTCGACGAGAAAAAAAAACTGATATTCTGATCAAGTTAAATACACATTAATATTACATTGTATTAAGGAAATAACTTCTGTGTTATGTTTTATGTCTTGTGATTTTTAGATTTAATGGATAAATAAGATAATGAAAGTGATAAATAATTTACTTCTGTAATTTTTTTCCCTGTCGGCGAAACTTTAAATAATTTAGTGAAACAAATCTTTACCCCAACACCAAAAAAAAAAAAAAATTGCTAGATTAATAGACGTTGAAAATTGAAGTATAACAAAATAAACAATATTCACAAATCCTCCAGGATGTTCTATATCACTACAGGTAAATCCTTTGTTTACAAGTTCTTTTATTTGTTGTGGTAGTAGTTAAGACCCAGACTGTGGTATGTCTCTCGTTTTTCATTCATTTATATTTATGTCGGTTTCTTTTTTTTTAAGATACGTACATCATGTCTGACTCACCCACACCACCACACTCCCTCTCATCTCTCTTCTCCTCCCTCCTCTCCCTAGACCCACTTCAACACGCCCCCCTCACACATTCCTCTCCACTCCTCTCACCAGACCCCCCCCTACCATCATAATCCCTCACCCCTCTCTCCCATCCCAAGACCCACTCCAACACACTCCCCCACCCCCTACACATTCCTCCTCACTCCTTTATCCCCCCCCTCCCCTCCTTCACCCTCTCCCCAGTCCTCTCAGCTACTGCCTCCCTTCGGCTCCTTTATCCCCCCCCTCCCCTCCTTCACCCTCTCCCCAGTCCTCTCAGCTACTGCCTCCCTTCGGCTCCTAACTCAAGTATTCTCATCAATCTCCTCTGTCAGTAAATTGATTCCGGTCTAATTATACGTTTTTTTTTTTATGAAACATCTTTATACTGTAGACAAACTGCTGGAGGGCCACGAATGGTTACACAATGTATAAGCTGATAGGAAATGCATGAATTAGTAAGTTTACTTGTGTTAATTTGTAAGTTTACCTGTGTTAATTAGTAAGTGCACCTGAGTTCACCTGTATCAATATCGCATCGTTGTTTAAGAGTTATTTGTATTGGATTTTCTCTGTCAATCTCTCACAGTAACTCTCTGGTTATAACAAACATTACATAAATATTCTGGGCGATATGAACAGTGGTGGTGGTGGTGTCATGTGTGGCCCACTTAAGAGTTACCTTGAAATACCTGTCATGAAGAGTACATGACACATATATGTATATACAATGGTTCCTGACAGACGTGATACATATACTGTATTAATGTGTGCGAATTATCCTATTATTTTATGTATTATTGAAAAGCTTGAACAAACTAGTAAAGTAATTCTCTTTATCCAAAACACAACATATTGCTCGTTTAATAGACGCTACAATACACAATAAACAGTATTCACAAATTCCAAACCAAATCAAACCAAGCCTAACCAAACCAAACCAAACCAATCGTAACCTAACCTAACCATCACTACAGGTAAATAAATCCCATAATACACGCGGTCATTAAGGTGGTATCATACAACAATAACTATCACATGAACTTGCATTACCTTGGTGGAGGTAGAGTGATATGCAACAATGGAGAACAGTGACATGCAACAGTGGAGGACAGTGACATGCAACAGGACAGTGATATTACAACATTGTTCAGTACAGGGTTAAAAAAAAAAAATTATCCCTCCTAGAAATTAATTCCTACTAAATTTTTTATAAATACTTTCATTCTTCTCAGTTTCTTTTATCATACATATAATATTTCTTACATATTTTCCTCTTCTTCATCTCCTCCAATTATCTCTACCTCCCCTCCCACCCTCATCTACTCACGTCTCTCTCCTCAAAGGAAAAAAAATCGTTTGAGAAACTAATTAAAACTCAGGCCAGGGTTGCTTTTAGTTTTCAAACTCATGAAAATTATTAGGAGGATCTTTGACAGAATTATTCGAGAAAAACAACAACGACAAGCGTAGGAGGATAATCATAGCGCTTCTTGTGGGTCATAATCCATTATATCACAGCATAACCGAGCCTCTGGCATTATCGGGAGGGTGGCCATGCAGCATAATAAGAGCCTCTGGCATTATCGGGAGGGTGGCCACACAGCATAATAGAACCTCTGGCATTACCGGGAGGGTGGCCACAGCATAATAGAACCTCTGGCATTACCGGGAGGGTGGCCACAACATAACAGAACCTCTGCAATACCGGGAGGGTGGCCACAGCATAACAAGAGCCTCTGGCATTACCGGGAGGGTGGCCACAGCATAACTGAACTCTCAAACTTCTGGATCAGTTTATCAGAAGGAAAAAATAGATGAATGAGAGAGAGAGAGAGAGAGAGAGAGAGAGAGAGAGACCAGCCCCCCCCCCTTTTATAATAACCTCAGGGCCATCCCTTACCTCACAAGCATACCTCACCTGCCCTAGGTCTCATTACCCACCTCACTCTCCCTCACAGGTCCGCTAACAGAAGTGGAGGCGCTGGAGGGTGGGCGGGCGCTACTCCCCTGTGACGTCACGCCGCCCCTCTCCACAGACGACACTATTCTCGTCCTCTTCTACCGCGGCTCCTTCGGTACGCCCATATACAGGTGAGGCCCACGCCCACACACTCATATGCACTTACGATTCACACCCACATACATCCACATTAATTACAAATTACACCTATACACCCACATATAGGTAAGTTCCACGTCCACACGCCGACGTAAAAACAAGTCTCGCCCACTTCCACACATACCCCCACACGCCCACACATCCTCTCACTCCCCCACACACCTCCATACTCCCCCACACACGTCCATAGTTCTCCACACTCCCCCAAACTCCCCCATACTCACCCACACGCCCATATACAAGTAAAAATTTCAAACCTAATCAAATATTTTATGGAGGTTCCGCTGTGTATCGAGGCAATGTAGGCGTGGTGGCCATCTCTTCATCAAGTAAATGTTAGCGTAAGGTCAGATAAGATGTTTCGAACACTCTGCCAGTCCATCTAAGGAAGACTTTACTTACTAACCTTCCTTTTAATAATTTCTATGTTTGGTTTATATAATACAATGATCTGTGTTTTTTTTTTGAAGGGCTTTGTCGAACAGCTTTTATGTATATGTAGGTCTTATAAATCTTTTTTTTTGTTATATGGTAAGAATTATATAACTCATGTATTAGTTATATGTAGTTATATATATATGCCTTCATGTAAGAGTCGCCAGTTGTATATTTCGTTAATTTTGTGAAGTCACTATGTCCCTATATTCTCTTCCTTACAGAAATACGTAGATTAAACAAAAGAAACACCCACATAAGTATCCCCAGATAATGACCCCCAATTCCGTATAATTCTTAGCTATACATTCATCCCTGTGTTATGATAAGAGGTAGAGAGGGAGGGAGGACCTTCTTGTCTTTATCTTTCCTAGTCTTTTCAGCTTTCGCCATCTTAATCTTGTGTTCCCCTGTTATTATCTGTTCTAGTTTCTACAATTTGCGTTGTTTCTGTTATATATGTAGTTCCTCCAAAGCCAACCCTATACACTTGTACTTATTAAAACTCATATTAGAAACATCTTTTTTCACTAATTGTTTCTACTGTAGTTATATTCCTCAGTGATATATATGTCCATGGTCTAACATAGCTCACTCAATTACTCACTCTTATAGACAGACAGACTATAATAATAATGGTAACGAGGATGGGTGGTCTTAGGGCCACCATTACCCCGGAACACGATTCGCAAATCGATTAACATTCAGGTTCCCATTTAATGCTGGGTAGACAGAGGCAAATGGCGTAATGAAACTTGCCTATAGTTTCACCCCGTTCGTGGATCGAAACCGGGTCCAGTCGCTTGCGAGGCGAGCACGTAGAAACCTCTATCCATTATTTATCACGTCACCCGGCCACGGACCTTCACCTGAATTCCCGATCATCTGGGTGTCAAAACAAACACTAAAAGTTGCTCTTCACTCCTCTTAAAAATCCTTATACTATTTTCTGATCTTCGTCTGCTTTATTTCTCCGCCTTGCATTCTAATAGACATGACTAGGATGGTTTGAGGGAATTTTGCTCCCACTCAACCAGGAACTTCAACATGATCCCACCCTACGTTTGCCAAGATATTTCACGACTATTCATCTTCGTTCGGAATTCTTTGTCCTCTGCTCTGTACCTTCGAAAAAAAAAACCTGTTGTTCACACTAGTTCGACTTTTCCTGCCCAAAGAGAAACCGAACGTAGGCAAACTTTCAAGTATTGGATACGACACTAAAAACCAAGAAGCATACATCATATTTATCAATGGTAGCACAAATGATCAAGTTATATTCATTGCCAGCAAGACAAAAGCTCTGCCTGTCTCTCACAAATTAAGTGTGGAAGATTATAACAACCTTAACACCAGCTATCGACGACAAAGAATACAACCAATATACAGTATAATAGTTCAGGCTCGTCCATATGTTACTTATGCTTAAGTTCTTATCAATTACATCCTTCGCATATGAGGAGAGGCGGTGCACCATGGACCTACTTACCAAAATACAATCTAACGCTGTTTACTTCACTATAAAATCATTTCTTCGTTTCCTTTTCACCTTCACTTTTGGGTTGGAAATAGTCCCTTAACTTTCCTATTTCTAGTGCTATTTGTACGAGCAAGACGCCCCCTTCTTTACACCCCATTAGCAACAAATTCCTCATTATGCCGCCCCTGCTGCCCCTGCCGCCCCCTACCCTTCATTTTTAACCCTTCTTAACCACGGAACTCTACCATCTCACTTGCATCTACATATTATTTATAACATTGTAATTGTAAGGCCGACATTCACCTCTTAGTACACAAATAAATCGTACTCCGTCATCTCTTGTTAGCTGTTCTGTGTTTTTAATAGTTCACTGTACCCACCCTTCTAGTACACCTCAAGAGTTAAAAAACACATACACCCACACCACACACACCCACATCCACACCCAACCCCACACTACCTCCCACACTCATACATACAAACAACAAACATCCAGCCACACATACAAGCCCTCACACACACACACACACACACACACACACACACACACACACACACACACACACACACACACACAATATCTCCAGACAGTCGAGTGGATAGAACACATACAACTGTTTTTACTGTCGTCCGATGTAAGGCAAAACACACAGTTAACAGTCAGATATTACCAGTCAATGCACATGGGAAACTGAAGAACAATACTTATATGACAGTTTAATAATTAGATCGTAAAAAATCTAAGATCCAATTATGTGTAAGTGTTTTGTAAAGAAGGGAAATATACCTTGAATCACTGACGATAATCAATACTACAGGTAAACAAGGAAGACATCTGGGACAGGGAACAAGAGCTAAGTAGAAATAATGAGACAGAGAACAATTTGCAACATAATGAAGGATTTTGAAAACTTATCTGTGAATGAAGTGAAAGATATTAGAGTGATGCGAGTGTTATAAAAGAGAACAAAGACAGAGGATCCTAATGGAACCGGATACAAAGACTCACGGAAATCATATGGAAACAAAGACCACATGACATCTGAAGTGTTAAGAGGAATTAAAGAGTTGAGAAATGATAAAGAGTAAAGTGAACAGAGGGAATTGAGGTTGATATTGTTGAGAGAATGAAGAAAAGAGAAGAGAAAGTGATGAAAATAGGAGAGAAAACGAGGAAAGGAAGAATGAACGTGAGGAAAGGAGGGGAAAAAAAAGCAAGGCAAGTGGAAGAGAGTGAGGAAAGTAAGAGAGAAAGCGAGGAAAGGTGACGCTGCACAAGGGAGGTGAGCAGGTAAGCAGGAACCAGAGGAGAAAGCACAGCAGGTGAAGGGGTCGAAGGGAAGGATTAAAAAAAAAAGATGGTTGATAAAGCAAAGGGGAAGGGAAACGAGGGGAGGGTGTAGTTTGGTGTGGCTGTGAGGGGAAACTTCAATACAGACGATAAAAACGATACGAGGGAACAGATCACAGCTAATATGGAAATAATTATGAACAAGGTATCTGTGATGATGATGATGATGATGATGATGGTGGAGAGAGCTCATATTGAACTTGTATAAACTGTAATTAAAACTTTTTTGTAGTATTTTATTAGTATATATCTGTCTTTTGCTGTAGCTTTGTTAGTTTTTCATAATAAATGTTTAAAATCCGGAAGAGCATCTATAATAACGAGCTATAATGGAGGAAATATGGGGAAGGGATCCTGAAGTAGAATGTTTTTTTGAAATACTTTAAGAGATGTTTATTTACAAACCAGAAAGAGACAGAGATAAACCAGCTCCAAAAAAAGTATCCTTACGATTTTATGCGAGACAATATGACACAACGGACGAAGGATTTTGAGAACCCTACCTAGACAACAGGAGTCGCAGTGTTCATTTTGAAATTCATCGGACCCCTCCGTAGAGATAATTGTTTGGAGCGAATTACACGCGACACCATTAGGTTTTGAGTGATCATCTGGTAACAGTGGTGGGGAGATTAACTTGTGCTGCTAAACAAAGGATGTTGATAAACTAAGCAATTCAAAGAAGGGGGGAAATGGTAACAATATAGTCGAGATAATACAGAATAGAATTACTTATAAATGATAAAAAATAGGAAAGAGTTCTGAATGAAGATAACGGAGAATGTTATTATATATTAGTGTTTAAGTTTTATCATTATTGTGAGGAGACGAGGAGTACAGATGAAATACCACATGAGATTAGTGGAGACAATAAATCAAGGTTAAATGAGATATGTAAAGAGAAAAAGGAGAGAGAGAGACTTTGTTATGATGGTCCCCCGATGCATTAACTTATGACCAGGAATGATTATGTTAAGGTTACAAGAGAGGAGGGAAAGTGAGAGGAACAACTTGTGAATAAAAGTTTAAGGTTAATCCGAAAATTTATATACATATATATATTCTTTTCGAGATCCTGTATACAGAAAGGAACAGCAGCTAAGGGAAGAGCTGATGAAGGTAAAACTTTAGTAAAGGGAAGGAAAAATATGAAGATATGTATAATATTTTCCATTCAGAATATACAAATGAGGTTATGAAGTCTCCAGGGATAGATGAAAACAGATGAATAAAAGTTGGATAAAACTGCTGTAGCTAAAAGAAAACTAAGTCAAACTGTAGCCAAAATTGAATCTGTCTCTAAATCCTTGTGAGCTGACAGAATATCCCCGAGGGTATTGAAGGAGTGTTTGAAACAGTTTGCTGATCCATTAAAGTTCATATTCACAAAGTCGATGGCACTGGGAATAGTGTCATGGGAAAGGAATTGTACAAAGGCTTCTTGATTACATAGAAAAGCGAGTCAGGAAAAATCCTCTGAATAATCAAACACTGTCGTTGATTAATACAGTTACCACACACACACACACACACACACACACACACACAAGTACGTTTTTAGGATTTTACTCTAACTCTGTAAAATAAAATAAAAATAAAAATAAATCATAGAAGTAAAAAAAATAAAAAATAAAAACGGAACCGGATGAATTGGATCAGATTATACACCTAATGTTTCAAATTAATTTTTTCATAGCTGAAAGAGT